AATGAGCTATTCCAGCTTTTGTTTAGACACTGCTATATTGAAACATGGGTCCACATATTATACCATACATCATGTTAACAACTGCTTCAATATTTGTCCTAACCCTTTAATATTTTGCCTAACCCCTGTAGGTTGAAAAGCATGATTCGCAGTATATCTTTGTTGTCTGTCGTAAAAATATCTTTCAAATGGTTTTGGAACTTCTACCTTTTTATCCCCAACTTTAAATTGTATCATTTAATAAAGTTTTGCATCACTGTATATATTATAATAACTATACTATAGCCTGTTACTTTGCAAGTGTCCATATCTATTTGAAATCTGTTCGCTATTAAATGTGTTATTTTGTGTCATACGTTTGAATAGTTCAAATTGCTGTTATGTTAATAACGTTGCCGTCTGATTAAAATTAGTTTTATGTACATCGCCGCAGATATTAAATTTTGCTCCATATAGTAGTATAGGATGGCTATTTGAGTTGTTTCCCTTTATAAAAACCCGACATTTGCAGAATCAATTAACCGTAATATTTATGTTATCATCAATGCTGAATTTATGAATTTTGCACATTTGTTTTGTAATAAATTGTGTTATAAGCAATTTTGGAACATAATCTACACTGATGTCAGATGTTTCACTATTGAGACGTTTCACTCCCAAGACGGTTCACACCTAGACGTTTCACTCCCATTTTGTCAATTGTATGGACGTTTCACTCCCAATTTTTAGAGATGTTTACTAGGAAAGTTAACAAATTTTAATTTCATTAATATTAAACAGTGTTAAAAGGAAATTCAATTTAATGTTTCATTTTGTTGAATTCAATGGTATCATTTAATTATGGGTTGAGTGATAAGAGGTGTAAATGAAAGACACATTTCTGAAATATCACTTTTATTATCAGTGTAACAACATGAGAAAATTCTATTTATAGTAAATAAAAAAAATAGAATAACATAGAAAGAACAACAAAAACATCTATATTATAAGTATCAGTTTAAAGATATTGAAATCATTACCAGTAAAGTAATAAATACATGTATCACTCAAATAATAAATCAAAGTGCTGCAGCACTGAATGCGACGGACATGCAACCGGAGAGACATTCAGGCTTTTTTTTAATAAAACAAAACACACAATATATAACAGAGAAAATTTGTTCCATACAAGTTCGAGATTTGTAGAGCAATATATTTTTTGTCCCAAACTGTTATAATTCAGATTTTCTACTTTCAAGCAATAAATACAGAATGAAATTTATGCCTAAAAACTCTGGTCAAACTTGTAAATCAGTGTCCTTATCGATTTAGAAATGATATGTAAATAGAAGAAAAAACTGACAACGAAATATTTCTAAAATAAAACCATGCAAATAAACTTCAAGCATAATACATTATACATGTGAGAATGCTATTTAGAATTGCTTCGTGTTATCATAGTGGGCATATAGACAATAATTAAAATATAAGTCATTTGTATTGCATGTAATCTGCTGGTTTATTACATGTATAATGTGTACTAATCGCCTGTCCATAAATCAGCATAAGTGAAGCAGAATCTATTTTTAGAATAGCGAAGGTTAACTCATATCGTGACCTAGAAATTTATTTGTAAACAAACCACAAGAATTGGAAGTAGAACTGATATTGTAACTTCCTTCAATAAAGATAACCATGAAAGACTACATGGTGGTAAAGTGTTGAAAAGCTCTCTTGTTACATGCATTTTCAAAAATAGATATTTATACTAACCATTGTACTGTATCTAATTTATTAATAACTGCTGAATATTCAGCTAAACCCGCGGTATGAGTCACGAAAATAGTTCTTCTTTTATTAATGCGCGAGTTATTCTAGAGTCACGAAAAACTTTTGATTTGTTAATAATAATGTTTTGTATAATGTAGAAATATTTATTTCCTACTAATAATTTCTTGGAACTCAGAGCTTACACCTTTATTATAGTATAATTTGCTGTCCTACTTTTTCGACAGCGGTAAATCGTTTCGGCAGTAATTTGCATATTGCGCAATAATACTACGGGACTACAACGTTTTTATCAATCATATACGTTCATATTTTAACTTGGATAACTTAATTTGAAATTGAAAAGGCTAAATATGGAAGATATTAAGATATCCTGACAAAGTATGGGAGTTTTAAAGGATCAAATTCATGTACTATTTCTTGGGCTGTTAATCGGTTGAGGACACCTTGCGCGATTGTAGCCGACGAAATCCCATGTGTAGATGACTTAGCTCTGAACGCGCCTGAGGGCGCGTCCGTCGCAAAAATATCGATATATTAAATATATTGACTATGTAATGATTATTTTTTGTAAGTCTTAAACAATGAAATGCAAAACATGTGTATAAAAACTCTAAAATAAATTATTTTTTAAAATTATTTTCTTCATCAATTTATTAAACCCATTAAAAAAACTTAAGTAATTGTGGTGTTATCTCATTGGCTAATTAGTTATATAAACACTGAGACAATCAACTAACAGTCTGACACACTATTAAATCAGTTGTATAAACACAGCAGTTTACTAATCAGTTGTTTATTAGACCATTAAAATATTTTTTGACAACAGCCAATTTAAACACAGAAACTTCTCCATAAGTTTTGTTTATATAATAATTGATTTTAGTCACAAAAAATGATAATACATGACAAATATTGAAAAAGATGTTTCTGATTTCAATGGCCATTAAATTTTTTGAAATATATCGCAAATGCACTATACTAGCATAAAATATTTTAACAATTTTTGATCCGATGTTTAAAATTAACAACAAAAAACATGTAACTCAAAGTTAATTCTTGTCACAAGATTGTTATGCTTTAAATTAAAATTGCCTATTGAGTCCATGTTTACAAAAGATCAAATACTTAGTTATATTAAAGTGTTATTTTAATCAAAAATATTTTTTCTTTAAATGAAATAATGTGATAATCACTGATAATTGCACATTTGGATCAAAGAATAGAAAAACACCTTATTTCAAAACAATAAAGAAAATAAGATAACTGAAATGATAGAACTTAAAGAACTGAGTTTTAAGCCATTGACAAAAAATTGAAATCCTCCTTTTTAATTTATTAAATTTAAGGTCTATTTTAGTTCAATTCAATATTTTAGGTATATGTTAGTATATCATAAGTATCAAAATAATTTTGTTATAAAAAGGGTGTGAAACGTCTTCAAGACGTTTCACTCCCATTTGGGAGTGAAACGTCTTGGTGTGAACCGTCTCAATAGTGAAACGTCTGTCTACCCTTTAGACCTGGTACCGTAGTGATTTGCCGATTTTGATTCTACTCGTAAACAGCGTACTAAGAGATAAACACAGACACTTAGGGTTATGTGCGTGGCTCCCCTCCTTGATCCGCACTTGTATACACCTTGTGTATTTTTATCGTGCAAACCGTACGTCCAAATATTTTTGCATATTATTACGACATGCTCACATGTCTTAAACATCAAACTTGTTTTCCACTATTTTTAACAACGTTTAAAAAAGTCCCTAAAATACTAGTATCATAATTTCAGGAAATTGAAGCAGTGGTAAAAAATTGACTTTTTTAAAACTTTATGAAATTCTATTCCAATTTGTTACGTGTAAGACACTTGATTAAGCGTCTCATACTAATATAAGCAAAAATTTAAAACTAATTCTTGTATTATAGATAATACTTTTAGTTTTTTATATTCAGGCAGAGAAGGGCGGAGTCCATACTCCAAGTGTCTGTGGGTCAAATTTGACAGATAGAAATATGTTTTGCAAACCCTCAGTATCAAATTTTTCTACCCACTTGCATGTGGCAATGAAACTAAAACATGGAATATAAGAGAAATTTAAGCCAACAGGCGTTAGATTTTATGGACATTTATCGACCTTTTTTCCCCCCTCAAAATAACACTTATCACAGATCTTAATAGCTGCATAATACTTTCCCCGTGCATAATACAGTAAACTGTAAATATGTGCATTATAAATATAGGAATTGCGTTTATTGATGGATTGGGTTTTAATTGGGCGCCAGTATAAGTAGATAGTTTGGAATTGCGTTTATTGATGGATTGGGTTTTAATTGGGCGCCAGTATATAGAGGATATTAAATGAGTGTAAGTTCAATACTGAATTTATTGCACGAGTTGAATAAAATTATATTATGCGAGCCTCTGGCGAGCATTATATTGTTTTATTCCACGAGTGCAATAAATTCAGTAATGAACTTACACGAATTTAATATTCTATTTATCACATACCCAAAATAAAGACCGTTTAAAGTGAAATAAAGTTAATTTTTCATTGACGCGCCTATAGCATAACGCTAACATTTAGCGCGTCTTTACTCTTTGTTTGTATAACGCTAATGACGTCACGTCAAAATATATGCACGGCCGTGCAATACCATATTTACGGAGTCGCAAAACCGGCACGGGTGTGTGATAAAAGTAGATAGTTTCTTTTCCCGTAATATTATTTGCCAGCGTTGTTAGTTTAACCATATTCATTACTTGTGAAATTTATACCCAGTCCTGATTCCGATGGGTCATCAAATACCAATAAAATAAATGTATCGGTTAGTACCCAAAATGCTCCAACCACAAGAATGAACCATTTTTCACTTTCATTTTTGAAGTTTTCTAGGAGAATAAATTGAAACTTAATAGGTCATCATTTAGCAATTTTCTTACCTAAGGACATGATAGGTGACATGTCCGGGATCAATACTCTAGCTCAGTGCCTGAAAGAGCAGATGGACCCTTATTAAACTTAGAAAACACACATGGAAATCCATCCTCCTATACCTGCCTCCACTTGCAGCAGGATATGTGCGTCACAAACCAAAGTTTCCCTGACTCCCCTCTTTCCGTCACCAGGAATCCTGGATATGACCATGCATCTTTTAAGCTATACAAATATTTTAGCAGTTATTTTATAATTTTCAGATCAATGGAGGTTCAATTGAAGAATTCTGAGGAGTCTGTTTTAAAATCAAACCGATAGCATACTACTAGTGACAATGAGTGCTAAGAAATGTTTTAAGTGTGAAATATGTCAACAAAGTTTCAGTCAGTCATATGACCTTATTCATCATATGAATATTCATGAGGAAACAATGACATCAGCCAATCAAAAGCAAGAATTAAGCTCTTCAAAGAAGAAGTCAAAAGGCAAAGGTAGTCTAACATTATGTGATTGATGTTTTTTACCATTCTGTCGCAAAAATTAATATTAAAACAAGCTATGAGCTACAAAGTTTGTTTTTGAATTTGATTTATATATAATCAATCAGATACCGAGTCATAATTAGATTGATTACGGAATTTATTAAGATTTGAGAAATTGTAGAATGATGAGAAATTCAAAGTTTAAAAATAACTTATGAAAATCTTACATTTCCTGGATCTTTCTAATTTTATTTTTTTATTTATATCACAGGTCGCGGTGAAAAGAAAGAGCCAGGAACCAAAACGGAGGAAGAGGGTCAGGAAACTGTGCTTTGTCCTTATACATGTAGAGATTGTGGTGAAAATTTCTCAGACATTTACAGTTTAAGGCGACATTTTGTTCAGAATCATCAGCATAATTAAGTTCAATCTCCGTCTGTGAGTAACATTATGAACACATGTTGCAGTAATGTAATAATCTTAATTTGATACTTAGTATACCAAGTGTTCCATTAGGTTTCAAAATTTGGAAGTAAAGAGACTGTAAATTGTCTGACATAGGAAGTCACATTAGTAAAGAAGGAAAACTAAAGTATTATATTGTCACAAGCCAAAATCAAGGAGCAAATGACTTTCAAACTTCCACTCATGGAAGCCCTGGTATACATGATTTAAATAACCACAAAATTTTGCTATGTTTTCCCAGGACATTGATACCATTCTTTTTCAAAACTGACTATGTTCTCTTCTGTTGATAAATCAATATTTGTATTGTAATAATCCCTCAAATTTTTAAAGACTGTTCTTAATTCAATACAAAAATCTGGAAACAAAGTGATCCCTCGGAAGCAGTAATCACAACAAAATTACAAGAGAATTGCAGACTCGGTTTGATCAGTCTGTACATGAGGGATAATGAATTAGTGCAACATCCCTCATGCTTCCAACACTGGCTTGAGTGGTACTCAATTCTCAACACTTAATAGTGCTGGCATCAACAACACTGAAGTGAAGTACAGGGCAACTTTTTACAGCTGCCACACGGCTATTGACACCTGCTGTTTTGAAGGCAAATCAATTACAAATTTTCTGGAAGATAAGGGTAAAAAGAGACTTTTCAAAATCATTATCAATATTTTAAAGTGTATGTTGAATATTAAATGTGATTTTGTGATAAAGGTAGCAAAATATAAACAAATTGGTATTTTGACTTTTGTACAAGACATGATACAAAATACTACCAGTAAGTCGCTAGATTTTGACTAATTTCCAAATAGCTAAAAGCTCAGCTTTGTACACAATTAGTAAATTTTTTAAAGCTTGATCACGACACCAAAAACAATTTTTTTCCCTTAAATATTATAGCATTTTTAGACTTAATGGGCCTTTAATGATACCTGCTGTTCTTATAATGCAGGGAATGGGGTATGTATATAAACATATTTTTTAATATTTTTAATATGAATTATAATTATAAATCATAATGCCATACAAATACATGTTTTTTTTGTAATATTTTTGGTAATTTATTTTTTTATAAATATTTGTTAATATCTTGTTCTTTGTTAGGCATTTTAAAAATATTTATTTGAATCTAACAATTTATTTATTTTGTTACATTTTAGTTACTTGGGCTAATGCACACCATGGGTCTAAGCATCCCTGAAAGAACCAAGCTGACTCTGTTGGAAGAGCTTGGAAAGGTCAATGGAAAAGAAGTCCTTGCTGCTCTCAATCAAGGAAAAACATTGAAGATAACCGTTGACAACATTGATGGAAGGATTAAAGCTAATCAGGTTATTATAAAAAATATTTTAAAAACTGATAATTAGAAAAGCAACAATGCCCTTATAGCTCTGCATATGATATATATGTATTTCCTTTATGATAAATTATCATAATAAAAACAAATATAAGGAATGTTTATATATATGATGTACTGCTACATGCAGGTTTTAATAGAAACTCATAAGTATCATCTGTTTTTAATTACTGCAATAGTTTTATTGTACATTATATTTGCCCCATTCCAATAATGTATTATATACATTTACATTAGAACTGATTATTATAAATATAAATGCTTTTATCCCAGTTTGGCTATATGATTTGAGTGTGAATAATTTATTGTATTAATCCTTATGATAATTTCTCCATACACATACTTCTGCTTTAAGAAAAGTAGTTTTCAATAGGGGCTTCAGGTACTGGTTACATGTATGTGCTTGACCGACTGACTTTGCCAATAAAATTGTAAGAAGGAAAGCTGTCTTTATATCTTATGACTGAAATACTGCTGACAATTTCATTTTTACACACCTTGTATAAAAATGTACACACAAATATTGTATTTCCTTCCAGGTGAGGTTGGAAAGTGGGAACAGAGATTTTCACTACACACACTGGTCTGTCATTATAGACAGATTTAACCCCAGAGACCTGAAGGACCTCAGCATTGAACCAAAGGCACTTCCTTTTGGTGGACTGTCTGATCCAAAGGCATTTTTCTTGTCGAAAGAGAAACATGCATCATTGAGGTTTGTAGCAAAGTGTAAACTAAATGGCAATTTTATCAGGCTAAGGCATGGGCAAAACATTATTACTACAAAAATACAATAAATAAATGAATGAAATAAATTCAGCCGAACCAAATATATAAACTACCAAGTTCATGAAGGAAAGATTACTTTAATATAGTATTGCTTAAAATCATGAAGTCTTTTTAGTAAAAAGTTATTATATCTTGATTGAACAGAAAGTGTTACTCCTAGCTGCTAGAGCTGGTTCAGAGGATTCTCATAGAAGATGTACCATCACTATCAGTCTTCTCTTCAGTTGTTCACCCAGTGTTGAACCGCAAGTACAGAAAAGTAGTTGACAAACCAACTGATGTATACCCTATGTTTGTAAGTATTCTTATATTACTATTTAATAGTTAGTTATTATTTGCATAATTTTTTTTATAGTTTCCTGCAAGAGAGAACAAGAAATCTTGATTTACTTTCACTCAAATTAGGAGGCAGAATATTATTTTAACTGACGGTGAAAGTATTTCCTTCTATGTGTGTTTTGGTATGTTGTTTACCAACTTCAAATGCAATTTGATATTTAAGTGACTATCCCACATATGGTGGTTTGAGTGTCTCTTTAAATACAGTGTTATCATAAGTTGAAATTGTACCACAGTTTCATATATCTATATAAAACTAGAATATTGACATATGTTTTACTTTAAAAACTACCAGATTATAAAAGTTTTGAGACTTTTATACTGCCATATTTTTGAACCGTTGTCAATTTTTATACCCCCGCACAACAAAGTTGTAAGGGGGGTATACTGGAATCAGCTTGTCCGTCCGTTCGTCCATCGGTTTTTTCTTGTCCGCCCAATAACTTAAGATTCCTTTGACCCTTAGTCTTCATATTTGGCATGGAGTTAGTCATGATTAGTAGATGACCCCTATTGATTTTGAGGTCACTAGGTCAAAGGTCAAGGTCACAGGGGCCTTGACTTCAAAAAGCTTGTCCGCCCAATAACTTAAGATTCCTTTGACCTACAGTTTTCATATTTGGCATGGAGGTTAGTCATGATTAGTAGATGACCCCTATTGATTTTGAGGTTACCAGGTCAAAGGTCAAGGTCACAGGGGCTTTGACTTCAAAAAGCTTGTCCGCCCAATAACTTAAGATTCCTTTGACCCACAGTCTTCATATTTGGCATTGAGGTTAGTCATGATTAGTAGATGACCCCTATTGATTTTGAGGTCACCAGGTCAAAGGTCAAGGTCACAGGGGCCTTGACTCCAAAAAGCTTGTCCGCCCAATAACTTAAGATTCCTTTGACCCACAGTCTTCATATTTGGAATGGAGGTTAGTCATGATTAGTAGATGACCCCTATTGATTTTGAGGTTACCAGGTCAAAGGTCAAGGTCACAGGGACTTTGACTTCAGAAAGTTTGTCTGCCCAATAACTTTAGATTCCTTTGACCCACAGTCTTCATATTTGGCATGGATGTTGATCATGACTATAAGGTGACCCCTATTGATTTTGAGGTCACTGGGTCAAAGGTCACAGGGACCTTGACAAAAAAAAAGCTTTTCTTCTCAATTGCTAAAGAATGTCCTGTCCGCAATGTATTGATTTTGACATTTTCACATTTGAAGCATGTAGAATACATAACTTAGCAATGCACTGGCTTAGTAACCTCAGATTTTGCAGGGAGGTTGTCCTTGAGCTCTAAATGGCCACTGTTGATTCTGACAAAGTGGTATGCGGGGGTATTCACGCCATGATAGTGGCAGTTCTAGTTTATTTTGTCAGCATTGACAAAAGTTGTTTTTTATGCCCATGGGCATATAGTAATTGAACCGTCCGGCCGTCCCTCTAACAAGAATCTGAGCCGGGGCATTTGTGTTTAACAAACACGTTCTTGTTTTTTATATTATCAACGGTATTTGTACATGTTTTGAGTGAAATATTACAATTGTTAGGTCATACATATGTCATTGAAATTGGAAAGTATAACTTCTGCTAATATTTGATAACTGTTTACATATACAGTAATACATAAGCCAATTTCTGTTGAAAGATCAACAATAGTCTGTGGGATTGCAGACTATAGTGAGGTCAGACTATTTCAGCAAAATGAAGTGTGTGAGATTATATTAATCTTACACTGGTAGCCAGTGCAGACAGGAATATCTTGCTGAAGAGTAACTGGCTTTGCCCAATAATTGCTTAACAGATATCCAAGAGCCAGATATTCATGTCTGTACCGGCAACCAGTGTTTGTTTCTTTTTCTTTTTGCATATCACATAAAAGTCATGTTTTGGAAAAAATTTAAGTATATTGATATTTTCATATAGCACCTTTTTCTTATAGTAGCGTATGAACATATAGTTTTTGCCAAAATGACGTCATATTACCATAATGACATCATAAAAATCATGAAATTCATTCATAAAAGGTGCTTGAGAATGGCGTCATTCAAAGCTTATGTGGGTGTTAGACAGGATTTTTTAGCACCAGTAAAAACAGAAGAAAATCCTGTGTGATATGCAAGAAAATATCAGTATATAAAACCTGGTGTTTTTTTAGTGTGAAGGCCTTATTTTGTTCTTTTTATTCATTTTGTCACAATATAATTAGGTACCCTAAAATGTTTCCTTACATTTTAAACTATTCAGGTGATTATGAAAGACCCTAAATCCCTACCAAATTGTGTTCAAATTATGGACACAATTTTGGGGACTTTACAATCTCTTTATACATCTGCTGGAAGAGGTATTTTGTTGGAAATATTTAAAATTGTTTGAAAAAAGTTATATTTCTTTCAGGAGTTGTTGTTAGAAGGATTAAGCATGTTATTGTTTGCTGCTTTTCTTTATTAAATTACAGTTATAAACTGTCAAACTAACCAGTGAACAAAATATGTAAATATATATTTTAATTCTATTTATTTAAGTACAGGTGGAATACTTGTAAACATACATTAACAATCAACGATATAAATATCCAAGTTAAGAAATTTTTGATGACTGTTGTAAGCCTGGCAGAAGATACACAATGTACAGGCAAATAACATGCAAAAAATAATTATTGCTTCCAATATAATGTAACCTGTGTCTCATTCATGCAAAACATTCCCTCTGCACTGGACACCATCACTGAATCACATGAGAGAAACAATCAGTGCATTAGATTTAACTGTCTTTTTTTAAAGGAAACATATAAGAATTTAAGTGATTAGGAAATATTCTGCCCATTTTCTTTTTCTTTTAACCATGTCATCGGGGATGATCCCAGATATGGTATTTAAAAAAAAACATATGAAGAAACATGGCAATGCTTCATCATGAACCAGGTTTGCAAAAAAAAACTTGATAGAAAAATGCATTCAGATTCATCAGATTTTCAAAATTTAAAACCTGATAAACAAATGGTTTGTATAATATAAGATTATTAATAGGTTTTAATAAATTGCTAAAAATGCCTTTGTAGCATGTGCATAAAGAACTGTTCTAGATAAGTAAGACGATTTTTGTGTCGCCTTGAAAAGGTGACATATAGGGGTTACTTTTGTCGGCGGTGTCGGCGGCGTCTGTGTCAGCGTCTGTGTCGTTGTCGGCGTCGGCGTCCCCTAAAGCTTGTCCGGAGCATAACTTAGTCACTATAAGTCTGATTGACTTCAAACTTGGTATGCATGCTTCTTTCAATAACGCGAAGTGCAGTGCACAAGGACCGGTACCCTGCAGTTCTTATTTTTTGAGTTATTGCCCTTTGTTAATTTTCATACTTTAATTTTGTCCGGGCCATTTCTCTTCAACTAAAAAAGCTATGGACTTGAAACTTCATGGGATGATAGATCTCATTATTAAGAAGTGCAGTGCACAAGAATCGGTACTCTGCACTTCCTAATTTTTGAGTTATTGCCCTTTGTTAATTTTCATACTTTATTTTTGTCCGGGCCATTTCTCCTAATGTATAAAAGCCATGGACTTGAAACTTCATAGGATGATAGGTCTCATTAAGAAGAAGTGCAGTGCACAAGAACTGGTACTCTGCATTTCTTATTTTTTGAGTTATTGCCCTTTGTTTATTTACATACTTTAATTTTGTCCGGGCCATTTCTACTTAAGTATAAAAGCTATGGACTTGAAACTTCATAGGATGATAGATCTCATTATTAAGAAGTGCAGTGCACAAGAATCGGTACTCTGCATTTCTTAATTTTTGAGTTATGGCCCTTTGTTAATTTTCATACTTAATTTTTGTCCAGGCCATTTCTCCGAAAGTATAAAAGTTATGGACTTGAAACTTGATAGGATGATAGATCTCATTAAAAAGAAGTGCAGTGCATAAGAAACTGATACTCTGCATTTCTTATTTTTGAGTTATTGCCCTTTGTTGATTTTCTTACTTTATTTTTGTCCTGGTCATTTCTCCTCAAGTATGAAAGCTATGGACTTGAAACATCATAGAATGATAGATCTTATTGATAAGAAGTGCAGTGTACAGAAACTGCTGCTCTGCACTTATTATTTTTTTAGTTATTGCCCTTTGTTAATTTTCATATTTCATTTTTGTCCTGGCCATTTCCCCTAAACTACATTGTTCACAAGGCGACACATCCGACTCGCGGAGTTCTAGTATTCATTTTTAGTTCAGTTTTGCATGTAATGTTTCTAAATCTGCTTTTTACCGAACAACATGATTGCAAATGTTGAAGTCTTCAGTCAGCGCTATCATACCTGTTGCAAAAAATTTGTACAGATTGCCCGAAAAGCAAAAGTTCATAAAATGAAATCTATTTTGATTTAAAGATATACTATGCTCTACCTTGAATAACATATCTTAATCAGAAAAATGTCTAATAATGAAATTATTAATAATTAATGTTTGAGTAAAATAATAAATAAACTATGTATGGGAAGCTGCATACTCTATTGTAGGTCAAGTAAAAATATATTTTCTTTACAAAAC